AAAACAACTGCGTTCTGGTTGCTTAGGGCGTATATGTCTAATTATAGTCAGTGTTCCTTCCCATGGTATTACCCTCTAGAATGATAGTCACTTTTACCTGAGTTGCCTGTGGTTTGCTGGTTGGTCTGAATGAACTCTAGTTACAGTTTGCATCTTCACTCTTGATAGATTCAGCTGTGAGAAGAGTAAGTAGGGAATTTCTTTTGCTGTAGGATTCATTTCTGAATACCACGTACCTCTCTGTCGAGGGTAGCCTTTGGCTCTGGCACAGCCTGTGCCTGCCAGCCACTGGGCTTGAGTTTTACTCATGTGTTCAGCAGCCACTATATTGCTGGTCATCTGACTTACCCGAATTGCATTTAACTTTTTAATGGAGTTAAAGATTCTTGCCACATGTTTCTCTCAGTTGGGATGCAAGATTAATGAATTCCTCTTTGTAAAGTTTAGAAGCCGGTGAAAAGGCCTCAGACGTTAGATAATTTTGAAAACACTTTCATGAAAAAGTAGCTCATTAGATTCACTCTTTTCTTGTTTGTTTTTAACATTTATTCATTATTGAGAGACGGAGACACAGAGCGTGAGCAGGGGAGGGGTAGAGAGAGGGGGAGAGACAGAATCTGAAGCAGGCTCCAGGCTCTGATCTGTCAGCACAGAGCCCGATGCGGGGCTCGAACTCACAAACTGTGAGATCATGACCTGAGCCGAAGTCGGTCGGTCAACCAACTGAGCCACCCAGGCGCCCCTCACTCTTGTGTTTTGTTTTTTTTTTTAATTTTTTTTTTTTCAACGTTTATTTATTTTTGGGACGGAGAGAGACAGAGCATGAACGGTGGAGGGGCAGAGAGAGAGGGAGACACAGAATCGGAAACAGGCTCCAGGCTCTGAGCTATCAGTCCAGAGCCCGACGCGGGGCTCGAACTCACTGACCGCGAGATCGTGACCTGGCTGAAGTCAGACGCTTAACCGACTGCGCCACCCAGGCACCCCAACTCTTGTGTTTTAAGAGTGAGCTCTTATTGGGTAAAAAGCGTTGGTCACTAGGTTTTCCTGCCAGAACTGGCCTTCAGAAATCCAGTGGCTGAGTGGTGTAAGGCAGACCATACCACAGGAGATGTAGCGATTGGTGCCTTCAGGGACGGCTTGCAGTGTCATACGTAGTTCTGTGAGGAGGTCTTATTCTGCAACCAGATGGGCTCAGAGCCAAAAGGAAATTTCCCTGCTGATTTAAACCCCTTTGAGTTTTCCAAATCAGCATCTAATGCATTTGCAAAAGCACTGCAACTGCTAATCGCTCCCATGGCCTCATCTGGCCAGCCAGCAACAGGCTACAAATCGATCTTTGTACAAGGTGTTTGTTTATAATTTATGGAGCTGATAGGAAGGCAGAGCCATCTGCTCCTCCAGGCATCAGTATTTCTAACCCCTCCCATTCCCTGCTAGGGCATTTTCACTTGGAAATCATTTATAATTAGGAGGAGATTACATTGCGGAGTCTGGAACATGGCTTCCTGCTGTCTTCTGCATCATTTTTTCTCCCCCTGGAGCTGCCCCCTGAAGCTCTTAAGCAGCTTTGATTTGAAAAATCCTTTCTTTCCTAACCTTTATTTCCATTCTGAGCTGCCCCATCACCCTTCCCCACGTGTGTTTTTGCCTTTAAGTGCAGGGCAGGTTGCTGGAGCTACAGCTCAGGGATCAAGGACTGTTTGGTAAGGCAGCAGTTTTCAAGTGTGGTCCCAGACCAGCAGCATCAGAGGCATCTGGGAACTTGTTAGAAATGCAAATTCTCAGGCCTCACCCGAACATTCTGTGTTTTAATAAGCCCTCCAGGTGATTCTGATGCATGCTAATACTGGAGAAGCACTGTGATAAGGCGAGGCAGAGAGCAGAACAAAGATTTCTACTGGTGTGTGGGTTGCCAGTGCCTTAGGCTTTATTTCACTTCACCTTTTTCTCTACCTGCTTACATTATTGTTCAGTCCAGAAAGGGTGAGTTGTCCTTGTCATGAGTGCATTACTTTCCTATGGCCCCAGAAAACAAGAAACCTCTCCCTGTGTAAATTAACTCATCAAAATTTCAGCCTCATGAGGAGAAGCTACACAAGTGAATTGAAGCAGTGACCACTCACTATTGTAACTGAACATTTCCATTTCCATGTGGGAAATTAATAGACAACGGGCAGCAAATGTAAGCCACTAATTGGAACTTTGAAATAAAAATGAAATTGTAAACACACCACCCAGTGCTTGCAGAAGTGAAGCTACCAAATCACTGTGTGCCTGCCACATCCCCTTCATTAGGACAGGAGTGAAGCCCCGGGTCACTAGCTGCACAGTTGCTGCGATTAAACATACGCCTGGAGGAGCTCTGCCTGAGTTTTCGGCATTCTCTTTTCATTTGTCATTTGCATGTCTGTCTGTGAGCTCCCTGCAGTGACTGGGAGCACTTGTGAAACTGGTTGGAGTTGGTGGGGAAGGAACAAAATTTGGGAGGTGGCCATTGATTTGGATTCATCATAATGTAGTAAACACAAACACAGTGGCTTGGACTGGAGGCTGACAAAATGCTTTTCTGTCTATACGCCCAGTTTTTCAGCGTTTTAGAGCCAGGCTTTCCAGAAGAAGGAAAACCTTACTTGTACTCTCCTTGCCACCCTGGCTCCCCTTAGGAATTAATGTGACAGTAAGCAGTTAAGTGCTTTTTATTTTACGTTGGTGGTGAGTTCTGAGGGTCACTATAGATTTCTATATGTTCAACTGAGTTGTATGTGAGCACACGTGAGTGAGATCTATGTATCAGGGAGATAAGAAAGCCTACTTTCATAAAATAGCCATCATGCGTTTTTAAGATATTAAATGTGGATAAAATGGTAATTGTGCAAAACTGTTTTAAAGTTTGTTATAGTTTCGGGGCGCCTGGGTGGCGCAGTCGGTTAAGCGTCCGGCTTCAGCCAGGTCACGATCTCACGGTCCGTGAGTTCGAGCCCCGCGTCAGGCTCTGGGCTGATGGCTCGGAGCCTGGAGCCTATTTCCGATTCTGTGTCTCCCTCTCTCTCTGTCCCTCCCCCGTTCATGCTCTGTCTCTCTCTGTCCCAAAAATAAATAAAAACGTTGAAAAAAAAAATTAAAAAAAAAAATAATAAAGTTTGTTATAGTCTCGATTGTCAGTTTCTTTTTATCTTTCTGAGGGTTGTGCCAGCCTCAAGTTTAGAAGATCAAGATGGACTCACTCCCGAAGCTTCCCCCATTCCTTTGTTTTTTTCTCTTTTTTATATATCGCCAATTGGAATCATGTGTCAGCCTAGGGAAGGAGGAAAAGATTGTCATTTTTTGGCACCAGGCTGGGGACCCTGAGTAAGGAGCAGACGGTCTCAGTGCTAACTAGATAAATCTAGCCACACAGGCTAGAGCAGATGGTGGGTTGGAAGTTGAGCAGTACAGAGCCCTAATGGTGATAGCAGTGAATATTTGGATGTCATTATTTTATTAGTTAGCAAACAGAACCATCCTTGTGGTCCCTCCTCGGTTTTATGTGTAATGGTGCTGTAGGTGTCAGCCCCCAAGAGTTGGCACAATAGCCTAATCAATGTGTTCTGATGTCTTTTTTGATCTACTTTGTCGTCTCTGTAAGTTCATTAACAACACACAGGGAAAGGAGGATGAATATAGAGTATTAGAAATTACTGTGGGTCCCTGAGCCCCTAATCCTTAGGCCACTGAAAAGCAATTCTTTGTTTTGTTTTCCTTAAGTTCATGGAGGAACTTGCCCTTGACCTTCCTTCCAGGGCAGGCCTTTTGACTTCCTAGAATAGATCACCTGGAATCTGGTGAGTGCAGCTGAGCTTGATTTTTTTTTTTTTTTTTTTTTTTTTTTTTTTTTTTTTTAACCATAATGCTTTTGACAGTGGACATTCAAGTAGTCTCCTTCAAATAAGAGAAGGACTGAAAAGTTTGTTTTCATGTGCACTTGAAGTAGATCTAAGTGAGACAAAGCCCAGAGGAACTTGGTCCCTTTGGATGTGTTGTGCCGTTCTGCTTGTGCCCTTGGTGTGGGCATTCTGCTCCCAAGCTCACATCAAGGGTAAGCTGCTTCCTCTTGGCAGGGAATTACACAGTGGGCTTCAGAGATTCAAATGAAAACCCAAACAAAGCGTGCAGGCACAGGACCAGTGCTGGCCAACATCTCAGTCCTGTCACATGGAGCAGATCCTCCCCACATTCTTCCACCACCCCCACCCCCACCCTACTCCCTCCTGCTGAGCCTGCTGCCTGGCTGACCCTGTGCATAATTGTTTGTAGCTGCCAAGTACAGACTGAGGCTGCCCCTGGCTGTTTGCTTATGGCATTGGTAAGGCCTACGGCATAGTGAGAAATGAAGAGTTCTAGCCATCCAGCCACAGCTGGGCTTTGTTTCTCTTTGTCCTCTCTTGTGGAGTTAGGAACAGGTGTTAGCAAGGACCTGTCCAGAAGTCTGAAGTCTCTAAATGTTCCATTTCCCTTAAATGAGAAAGTAAGGCACAAACTCATGAAATGACTTCCTTCTCCAATGTCGCATAGCAGGTGTGCAGTAGGATCCTCACCCCAAGGAAGCTTTACCTGTATCACCTTTCTCTTGGAATCAGTGGTTTTGCATTTTCATTCATCTTAGTTTTGATCTCTTGGACAATAACAGCTGCTGAGTGGCTCTCCAGAAACAATTTTTAATAACTTTTTCCATATCTAATCTCTCAAATGATGTTTCCAAAGTGTGAGCTAAGACTCAGCAGGTGATTGTGATTGTGTTGACTATCTGTTGTTTCCTATTAAATGGTAAAAGAGACATATCTTTCCAGTCTCTTGTGTTGCTTCTTCCATGAAATTTTAGTTTGATTGACAAGGCAGCCTTTAGCATTTCTAGAGAGGGTTCAGGCCCTTAGGAAAGCCCCCAAATTTCTTGGCCCAGAATTTTTTACACCATCAACTCCAAACTTTCTTACCCTCTTTTCTTTCTTTGTCTGATGCAGCCTCCGTGAATGTGCTGGTGCAGAACTGCAAGATCTACAATGATGCCAGCTGTGACATTTCTGCAGATGGCCAGCTCCTGGCAGCTTTCATCCCTAGCAGCCAGAGGGGCTTTCCTGATGAAGGCATCCTGGCAGTGTACTCCTTGGCCCCCCATAACCTGGGTGAAATGCTCTACACCAAGCGATTTGGTAAGGGAAAGAAAGCCCAACCTAGTGACAGAGGGATGCCGATGCCTTTGCATGGGCATTCCTAGGTGAGGCATAGCTTAGGTTGGAGTACTGATCATATCCTGCCCCTGCCTCCTTAGGGCACAGGCCAGAGGAAGATTGCTTGGCAGGAGTCTTGGCTGGTAGCATTACAGAAGAATCTCAGAATAAGAGTCCTTCCTGCCATGACAGCATCACCAACATGCTTCTGCTGTGATGGCCATAGATAAAGGAGGAGCTTTGGTCATGGCTTGGAGAAGCTTATACACCGTGAGGCAGTTTGGCCTTGTGTATTAAAAGCCCCTAAAATGTATGTTCCCTTCAATCCAGGAATCCCACTTCTAAGGAAATAATTAGAAAACTATACAGAGATTTATGTACGAGGATGTTCACAGTAGTGTTACTTATAGAGAAAATGTCAAATGGTGAAGAATTGCTTAAATAAAAAAAGGTGCATTGATAGGGTAAAATACCATCTGGCCTTTAAAATGCTCTTATAGAAGAATATTTAATGGTGGAAAAATGGTCCTAATGTATGAAGTGAAAATAGATTTCAAAATAGTATTTTCAGTATGGTACCAATTTTTTTAAATGTGATTCTATGATGACAGTGGTGAGCATTTGTTAAGTACTTTCTGTATGTCAAACACTGTATTCAACACTTGAGACACCTTCTCATTGTACTCCTCACTGCATTCCTATGAGAGAGCCCCTGGGTAACCAAAGACGCAAACTGAAAATCAAGAGAAAAGACTGAGAGGGAACATTATTGCCTTGTGATGGCAAGAACTCTGGGAAACATCTCTGTGTTCTGTTGGCTCTCAGGTCCCAATGCCATTTCGGTGAGCCTGTCCCCAATGGGCCGATACGTAATGGTGGGCTTGGCCTCGAGGAGGATCCTGCTGCATCCCTCCACAGAGCACATGGTGGCCCAGGTCTTCAGACTGCAACAGGCCCATGGTGGCGAGACCTCCATGAGGGTGAGTGCCACGGCTTATGCCTCCACTGTCGGGCAGCTCTCCAGGCTTGGCAGGGTAGTGAAGGGCAATGGTGTGATCTCCCAGCCTAGACTAGAGGTAGCATGTTCGTAAAGAGTAAGGAAAGACTGCAGTCCGGCCCATCCATGACCAGCTTTTGGAAGCTCTGGACTATTAAAAAGCAGGAACTTTCTCACACCCTCATTCCTGAGCTGAGCTCCCCAGAGGCCTGAAAGTGTCTTTGGATGAAGACCAAACTGAGTACCTCCTTACCTCAACACGAGACCTTTAGTCTGGAGATACATAAAGGACCCAGTGAAATATTTATGCTTATTTAAAAAAAATTTTTTTTGAAGAAGCAAACTATAAAAATTGATAAATGGTATACTATGAAATGTTCTTTTCTGTGGGTTGTAATCATGTTGGAGGATGAGGCCTTTCGGTAGCCGCTGTGCTCTTAATCATCTCGTCCATTTCACTACCAGAGAAAGGTCCTGTTGGGGCCCTGTCTTGTCTGAGGTGGACCTCTCTTATACTGCCGTAAAAGCCTTCTGGGCATCATGGGGTTAGTGGCCTTCTGAACTCAAGCATACTAGTTTCTGACTGAGTTCCCATGAGGGCTGATTTGCTTTTGCTGAGGGGAATTGAGCATTTGAATGGTTCTCTAATTATATGGTATTTAAGCTCTGTCTCAAGCTAAGAACCTATGAATTCCCTTAGCACTTTGTGCTGTGCCATTTATAGTTTTATGCACTTGTTTATGTGTTGTTTTGTGTTTTCTTTAGCTGAGTGGTGTGTATGTTTAATCTGCCCAATTAGGTTCCGTGTAAGCTCCTTAGGGGCATATCCCCCAGGGCCCTTCATTTAGTGCTGTGCATGTAGATGTTTGATGCCTGGAATGGAAGCATTTGTTTTTTTAAAGGAAAAAAAAAAAAGAGAGAGAGAGATAGGATCCACTGTGTAGAAAGTGACGGAAAGTGGGTGGCCTAGCATGGTTGTCGCCAGCCTCTTCTCCCTCCCATCTCCTACAAGGACCCTCTATCCAACTCTGCTGAGCCACTTCCAAGCACCCGGAATTTCAGAAGGTTCTTTCTTGTCAGTGTGCCTTTACTTGGACTGTCCTCTCTCTCAAACCCAACGTCCATAGCTCTTCCCCTTTTCCAGGACCTTTCCAAATCACTCCCTCTTTGTACCACCATTGTACCTGGCTACTGGCACGCGTATTCACACTCATCACATCAGACTGCACTTACTTCTTCCCATGTCATTCTCCTCTTTGGAACTGTGAGCTCTTCGTGAGCGAAGACCATATCCATTTCGCCTTTATGAAGTTCAAGTACAAATAAGGAACTTGACATCTAGGAGAAGCTGAATGAATCAAAGAGGATCTCAAGGCAAGCGTTCTCCTTAGCATTTCTAGGTGGTATCAAGCAGAACCAGTGATAGGTGACAGCATATTCCACCAAGCCTCTGAAAGGGGTGGAACATGAAACAGGCAGTCTGTGCCCTTGAAATCATACTGCCAGGGAAGTCCCAATTCTTGAATTCCAGATGACTTTGGAAATATCTGATATTAGGTGATTGGGAGAACACATTCTGGGAAGTTCACAGGCCTGTTTTCTTACCTAGACATTTGAGGATGGACATTAAGGTTTAGTTTAAATATTCTTATTTTGGTTCTCTTCAGATTCGGATGGTAAAAGTACCTGGTGTCTGCCTTGCACCACCTAGAATCCTGGTCCCAACAGCTGTTCTTCTAAATCCTTCCTACCTAATTGTGGAATAATTGTTTATAATCATTAAGAGACAGGATCTGATTTCGGCAACACTAATGGACATCTCCAGCCTCTTCCGGAAGCCAGGGCTCCTGCCCAGCTCCTGGGCATAGCCTGCCAGTCCACCATCCTAGCAAGGTTCCTCTTTTCCATAAGTAGCTTAGAAACATCTGGCTAAGGGCAAACAGCTACAGGGCGGAAGCCAAGATGGGGCTGGCAGCTCAGGGAATGCAGTTGGAGGAGTCTGCTGAGGAGATATGGTGATCCGTTGCTGTCCTGCTAAGGGGCTCAGGGCAGCTAGCCAGCTGCTGCATGCCTCGTGACAAGAGCTATTTCTCAGGCCTCCTGGTGAGGCTTTTTTGATTCTCAGTAGGCACCATCTGCCACTTAGGGAGCTGAAGTGACTAGAAAGCTCCCATTTGGGAAGTGTTCCTCTCACCTAAGAGACAGGATCCAGGCTGCTGAACAAGGTTTTGCTCACCCTGTGTCCACCACATCTGCCTTTAAACCCCTGCACTACAGAAAAGTTTCTGGTTTTCCAGGTCTTGGTTGCCCCTTAACATCCAAAGGCACCAAAGCACTCAGAAAATATCCCTGAATTCAGTCATTGGTGGAAGGGAAGATACCAGCTTTTTTGGATAGCTATGCTGTACCACCGTTTAAGTCAAGGAGGGCCTTTTTGTCTGAGATCAGGGAGCGAGGGTTTAATGGGACAGTAGAGCATCTTCCTCTTTGCACAGGTAAGTATGGGTGGGTGTCTCCATCTGTAATGTCAAGCTCTGTCTTTGAAGGAATGCTTTTGTGGGTGATGGGCCTGTCCTCAAGCTTCTCTACCCAGAATTCATTCCCCTTCTTTTTGGTGGTCCTTCTTGGAAATCACCGTGATGTAATATTCAGAGGGGTAAGCTTGTTGGGTCAACTGACATTCCCAGGAGAACATCCTCCAGAGCATTGACTTACCTTATTTTAATTCCCACTAAGTGACATCTCTCCCCAAGAGATGATCTCTTACCCAGCCCCATATGAACACTCTTCTGAAAATGAATCACTGATTCCTGCTTTGCCTTGATGCATTTATTTTAAGCAGTTTTCAGACCTCTGGATCAGTGCTTCTCAAACTGTGTTCCTCCAACAACCTGTGTTAGAACACCTGGGGTCCTTGTCAAAAACAGACATGACCACAGCAGCGGCGGGGTGGGGGTGGGGGGGGCTACATATCTG